TAGCTGCAACAGCTTCTCTGCATGCACGACAACCATAAGACTGGACTCGATCAGCTTCGTTCTCCGATGGAAAGAAAGAAGAGGGAAGATGCATGGGAGGGAGGACGGAGGAGGGAGCGAGGGGATAGATGGATGTACCGAGGTCGCGGGAGAGGATGGCGATGGTGTAGCCCTCGGAGGCGAACTTGCGCGCCACCGCCGAGCCGAGCCGGGACCCAACGCCGACCACGGCGGCGATGCCCCTCGAGGAGTTAGAGTCCGGACACTGACCTCAGCATATGGGCGCGTGAAGGAGATAAAATAGAAGAGAGAGAGCGGAGGAGGGAGGCCAAGACCGACGTGCAGCACTAGGAACAGCTCTAAAAAGCACATCCCGACATGAAGCTGATAGTTCCAGTGCCACCCTAAATGTTAAAATAGGGTGGCATACTCCCTCCATCAAGAAATATACAATGCATTTTAACATTTGAAATTTATCATTAAATATAGTGTATTAAAGGGACACGAAGATAATGTTACTTACATAAAAGTACATGATTATTTTGTATTAAGAAAGTAATTTATGTACTTGCCATATTTTGCATAAGGAGACTGAGAGTTCACCCTTTAATCATGCGGAATACTCCGTATAATTAGATTTCAATAGATTAGAAAGTTAAATGAGGGGTACATGTGTCTATTGCACTCTCCCTTATTTTGTCTTAGAATAGCCAGAATGCACTATATTTTAGAACAAAAGGAGTAGGTGCATAGGTGCCACAGTCCCACGAGGTTAAGGAGACAATGTATAGGGCCAAAACCCGTAGTACTTCATTGTGGCTACGTACTATGTTTTAGAACCTTAGTGTCTTGATATGGTATTCCGAGGTATTAACTCAGAGCTGAAGGCAGGGTGGTTTCATGCCAGCTAGACAACTACCCAATGTTAGTGTAAAGCGGGGTACCACTAATGATGGTGATCTTGTGGGTACATGCGTACATACTCTGCAGAGTTTAGACGTGTATGTATAGTCGCCGTCCATAGTCATTGACATTCATATATTTCTGCTTCACTTCAACCGGTAAGAGTCATGTGTCTTTCTCCTCTGGTTGTTTTTTTATTTGAAAAAGTTTTTCTCTAGGTGGTTAAGGTCCGGTCTGAGGCTATTGAGGTGGGGACGTGCGGGAGTTATTCTTGTTGACTAGAGAGTGTGGTTTCTTAGGCTCAACGATGTGATGTGTGTGGGATGGTTTGGGAGCATGTTGAGAAGGATAATTATGATATATCTATCGACTTTGTCGCTATGGTTTAGTCCAGAACCAGATTATAGGTTTTATAATACCACTTTCTATAAAAGTGATACAATCAAAGGGTGGGATGTTGGCCGGTACAAATCATGCTAAAATATTTTGGTTACAGGATATGAACACGACTACGACATTGAGAGCGATGGCTAGGATGAATGATGAGTCTATGTCCTACACTCAAGGAGCCTAGGGAGGATGATGCTCACCACCAGATGCTTCTCTACACTTAGCTATGACGATGTTGTTCTCTGTGACTCTAGCCATGTGGACATTTTTGTGTAATAATGAGAAAACCATGTTGTCGAGTAAAATTGTGGTTCATCACTTCTCAGACAACACATAGAAAGAGTACAGGTTAAAATGCCTTCCAGATATATATGGCAACATGAGATTATGATATCCTAACTACCATATGTACCCTAACAACATATAACATCAAATTAGTTTTATTGAACCCATCGTAAAATATGTCTTGAAAAATAAATTTATTTGTTTTCAAGATGCTAATACATTTTTTTGATAACTTGATTAAACTTAAATAATACTTTGTAATAAGTTTTAAGACAAAACTAAAATAACTTATCGGTGTGGCTAGCGTCCGGTCATCCGGATAGACGCTCACGTCTACTGGCCTGTTGCACCTACTCGCCCGCGCCCTGCTGCTTGCTCACGCCCTGCAGCTCGCCCTGCTCATCGCCCGCTACTCGTCTTGCTGCTCTGCTTGCCCTGTTGCTCGCCCACGCCATGTTGCGCGCCCGCGCCTGCACGCCTTGCTGCTCGCCCACCCGCGCCACTCCGTTGAGACCGCCTGCGCCCGCTTCCCGCACCTTATGAAGCACTTGCAACATGGAGGACTTGCTGCAATATATGTCTAAAATAGATAAAATATTTGAAATATATGCTTGCAACATGTGTGTAGCCACTACAACATATGCAACATTTAGATAAAACACTTGCAACATACGTCAGAAAACAGTTGAAATATTTGGAACATACACTTTACAACATACGTGTATATCCATTGCAACAGTGCAACATCACAATCTACTTTGCAACATCCAAATGAAACACATGCAACATCCAGATGAAACATCGAAAACACTTGAAACATAATCTTAAAACATGAGCTTTCAGCGTAATATCACCTTGCTGCTTGGACGAATGGAGGCTGATCATTGCGGAGGTCGGCAGCGGCACACGGAGCTTGCCGATGCCCTAGCAAAGTTGAGAGCCTCTGCTCGACGGCTGGGTGAGCACTTGCACGAGGCGTAGCAACCCACCTGGCGAGCACCTACTACCGCGGCCTGGACGAGCACCCGCGAGCGCCCCTATTGGGCGAGCACCCCGGATAGAGAGTGTTTTTTTAATTAGAAGGGACGCGGATGAGAGCGAGCAGACGCGATAGCGAGTGGGAAGGTGCGTCCGTCACCCGGAGATCCTCGTGATAGTATTATTATCGATAACTTATGACTTAGAAGTTGGAACGGAAGTTGTTATATTGACAATAATTTTATTTCTTAACAAAAAACATATATAGCTTCATGGATGACAACCAATAGTGGCCCAACATAGACAGCACACTTGTATTGTACTGTATGAGGTATGCGGTCTACGTATACCTCAGCGCTTGAGCTGTCTGTTGCCAGGGTTGGCTTCCCTTCGTCCGCACCCTGTACCACACAGAACGGAATTTGGAATGCGGATACGAATCCTCGCAAGTGTGTGTGTGGGGTGGGGGTGGCATCGGGACCACCAATCTTGGGCGTTAGCAACACTGAACTGTATAGCCCAACTGCCCTAGTACGCTGGCCACCACTTGCGGCTGTCTGATCTGATCTCGACCGGATTGTACACGTGGTATTCCGTTTCTGGCTGCGCATGTTTGGTTCCAAATAAGTCACCTACTTATAAGTTAAAAAGTGAAAAAATAACTTATTTTGTCAAACACCACCAATTTATAAGGGCCTGTTATTGATCCACAGGTTTATAAGTTATAAGTTGGTTAAGTTATCTATTTATAAGTTAAAAAATAAAAAAAGTGACTTATTTTGTTAAACACCACCAATTTATAAGTCATCCCTACTTATAAATTATAAGTTGGTTCACCCCTGTTTAAAACTTATAAGTCACATTTTTTCGCGTGGGGCCCACACCTTTAATGAACTTATAAATTATCTACAACCAAACAGACATGACTTATAAGTCACTGGTTTTCAGTCATCTGACTTAATAAATCACCTGACTTATGGAAACCAAACAGGCCCTTAACTACCAGGGATCTAAACGGCCCAGCTAGCAACGTGTTTGGTTTGCCGATTCATTCCATCCGGCATCATGTGAACCCACTGACAATAGAGGTTTGCCGATTCATTCCATCCGGCATCATGTGAACCCACTGACAATAGAATGGGTTCATCTGACATTGTTTGCGGAATGAGTTGGTCCTCGATTATTTGCAATTTAAATCTACGGGAAATCAACTGATGACGGACAGACAGTTCCATGCCGGGAACCAAACAGCATTGGCAGCTTCAGTATTAGGTTCGGATCATTCTGGATCGCCTCACACCGCAAACCAAACATGTCATAAAAGACTAGTTAAAGTTTAGCTGCTTCAACCTAGATAAAGCCAACTAAAATTCAGTTGAGTCTATTAGCCAAAGAATTCAAACACTTCAACTAAAGTTTAGTTAGGTAAAGTTTTAGCTGGCTAAAGTTTTATTTTAAAATTTTAGCTAGCTAAATTTTAGTTGGGTGGATCTAAACAGGCTCTACACACAGACATATAAAAAATACAGTCCTAGGTGGCTGCGTTCATTTGGAGAACTCAACGAGACGGGGGAAAGGTTTCAAAAAAAAAAACGAGACGGGGAAAGGAAATAAGAAAAGCAATAGCTAGGGGAAACAAAGGATTGCCGTAGCGTGGTGGGCTAGTAGCGTACAGGCCCACTCTAGGTGCCGTGGGCTCGTAGCGGTTGCTTGGATTTATCGCAGTCACTAATGGGCCTTCCCGCTGAACTTCAGTCATCACTAGCCCAGTAGGAAGTTAACGGGCCCGAGTCCAGAGCTTCCCCGAGCAGTCGGCACTAGTGCCCTGCCAGGGCCCTTTAAAAACAGAGGCCTAACGCATTGGGCCTACGTGGGCCTATCCAACCTCTGTAGTCCAAAACTGCGTGTTGGACCTTGACCATTTTTTTCGAGCAAACAACAAATCACGGTTGAAATGAAACAACAAAAAGAATCACGGCCCAACCAAACCTGTGTACGTATACAATACAATGTTCTACGACGCCAGGGCCAGCAGGTACCGAAACCTGAACTCGTACGGCAGGACACGCACGGGCCGCCGCCGCGGCGACGCGGCGGCGGCGCTGGCGTGCCCCCGGCTGGCCGCCTCGACCGCTCGGACGGCGTCGCGCTGGAGGTCGCGGGGCAGCGGCAGGCACACCCAGTCCACGAGGGAGCCCACGTCCTTGGCGAAGTCAGGCAGGTACCAGTGCAGGAGCTTCGGGATCCAGCCCTGCCCCGCCCGCCGGCGACGGCGAGACGCCCACCGCGGCCTGCAGGTACTCCCGCTTCGCCGCCTCCAGCTCCTCCTCGACTCAGGCCGCCGTGTACACCCTCACCTTCAGAGACAAGCAGCAGTGGTGACGACGCTGTCAGTAACAGGAATCATTATGCCTGCCGGTCGCTTCGCCATGTCTGGTCAGTGATCAGTGCCAGCCAACTGTGCCGCGGTTCAGCCTGTTCGGCTGAATTGGTAGGGATGACTGAAGTACTGCGGGCTGGTTTGGTAAAAAAAATACTATTTAAATTATAGATTATAAATCAGAGTAAATAATCTAAAACGCTAAAATCATCTGCGTTCAGGAGACAGCTCGGAGGACAGACTGCACGTCGGGCGTCCAGAGCACCTAAAAGTGTCGCCTGCTTTCTGCGTGATTGCCTACTGTATGTGGCTATGTCATGTCTATGGACAAGGAGCTCCCAAGGGAGGGAGAATTACAGCAGACTACTGATATACTAGATGAACACTGTTGTTTATGTACTTCGAAACACTAATTTGAGAGGTTACTTCTCTTATAATCCGTCTTTTTCAACTTAATTTTTTAGCCGAGACAGTGTTTTTCTCTCACAATAAATCAGCCAGAACAGTGTTTCGGTTTGTTTTTTCAGCGAAACGAACGGGCCTATAATAAAACAACTTTGTTTTAGCTGGCGCTGCCAGATTGCTTCAGAAGGTTCGCTGGTCACATGTTCGGGAAATTCACTCTTCGGTCTCCATATAATTACCCTGTTCGCTTGATCGTTTTTGTGGTTTATAAGCCGACTGATGCTGTTTTGTTGTGAGAAAAAAACACTATATCATGGCTGATAAGCATGACTGATACGATAAGCGAACATGGTGAATGTCAGATAGTAACTAACTTAACTTCTAGTAAGTTCGAGTAATAGTTTGGGTTGTAACCTATTTAAACTGAGCAGTACTAAGGTGGTGTTTGGTTGCCCCTCCTAAATTTTAGTCGCTGTCCCATCGAATGTTTGGACATATGCATGGAGTATTAAATATAGACTAATTACGAAACTAGTTGCATAATTTACGACTAATTTACGAGACGAATTTTTTAAACCTAATTAGTCTATGATTTAATAATGTGGTGCTACAGTAAGCATGTGCTAATGATGGATTAATTAGGCTTAAAAAATTCGTCTCGTGAAGTACTGATGAATTATGTAATTTGTTTTTTTATTAGTATCCAAACACCCCATACAATATTCTCCCAACACACCTCCTAAATTTTAGTGACCGGATCCCTACGTTACCTAAAATGCGACTGTCCTTTGTGAGACGATAAATAGGGTTTTCCGGAAATTTTCACACTGTAGCAGTTGAAAGGGTGCAGCAAGGACAGCACCTTTTCCTTCTGTCAGTCCTGGATCGGGGCAGAGCTAGAGCTCTACAGTGCGAGGCTCCGAGCGAGCAAAAGAAATTGCAGTACATAGCACGGAGCACAGAGCCAAGAAACTCACCGCCGGCGACGACCAGCTGCCGCAGGAGAGCGCGAACGTCACCAGCGGCTCCGGCCACTCCAGCGCGAATACGGCCGGGCCGTCGCCTTTCACCTCTTCAGTGTTCACCTGCCCAGGCATGCCAAACGTCCACTGTCAAAACGCATTCGTAGACGACGGTTCAGAGACTTTAGCCTTTTTTCAGTGAAGGACACGGCAGCGATGATGCGGCTAGCCAGCGGCCTTACATGCTTTGCGTCGTAGGGCAGCCTGAGGATGAAGTGCTCGATCGTCATGGCACTCAGCACGCGCCCACCGACGTTGATGGTCGCCTGCGGGGAAGAAATGAAGACCGCCAGCTCACTCTTGTCAGCGATTTATTTGTCATGCAGTATCTCCTGCAAACGCTACATGTATATGCTATCTAGAGAGCTGAAGTGAACAAGGGATGGGACCTTGGGCATCATGGCCACCAACATATGGGGGTTGGTAGGTGCTCCGTGCTCAAGAAATGCCTGGAGTTGCAGAGCAAATAAACAAGCATCAGTGCCAGAACAGGGACATGCCACCGGAGCCTATTAATGTATCCAGTATTCCAGTTAGGCTGTAAGTACTGTACTGCGGAGGACGTGCTATGGTCAAAGGCTAATGCTGCCAAGATCGCAATTATTTAGGGCTTTGCTCATGATTAAGGAGACAGAAAGCATTTCAGCACTGAAGTTTAATAACTGGTACGAACATGCTGGGCACAGACATACCCTGTCTTAGAGCAGTTTTCAAAACACAAGTGGTTCAAAAATTTGAACCTAAACATCATCGGAGCCACCTCTAGTTCCACCCTCATGTACAGCATGAACATACTTATGAGTTCCAATTTCAAATCAAATGGTCCCACAAATTGTAACTAAAGTTCCTACCAACGTGAATCTCCCATCGACAAGGTAGAACATGAGGTATAAAGCTATGAATCATGGATGCTGCGGGGAGAAGCAAGAGGAGACTTCAATTATGAGGGACAGCTTACGTTCATCATGCAGGAGTTGTAGGTGTTGATCCAGAACGCCAGCCGCTGCTGGTGGGAGAGGCCCGCCAGGTCAACCAAGGAGAGCTTCCGGAGCAGTGCCCTGATTTTTTTTTTGACAGGTAGCAACGATCATTCCATCATCAGTATGCCAAGTCAAACAGGCAACCACTCACCACACCACAACCAAATCTAGCTTGCACCAACTGACCAACAGATTAGTAGTAGTAGTTACCGATCAATGGAAACTCACTTCAATCTCCAGCCAAGTGCGGAGGCGTCGCCGGCAGAAATGTTTGTGCCGAACGAAGTGGCGTCGACTGATCGGAACTGCTTGTACCGGCCAATGTCTCGCCACCCGAATTCTAGGACACCGTAGGGGTCTGAGCTGCTCTCGCAGGAACCAGAGACTGACGCCGGCGACACCCGCTCATCGTCTTGGCTGCTGGAGGTGCTCTTCTGCGAGAAGATGGCCAGGAGGCACGTCAGTAGCTCCTCCGAGACTTTGTTCGCCGCCGTTGAGGCCTCGTCTGGATCAATGCCATTGCCGCCGTCAATAGCTTTGTGGTCTTCCATTGTACTGGTTGGCTGAAACGGAAGATGAACATGCAAGAACGTTAGCGCCTGAATGCCGAATTCAATGCCAATTTCTGCTCAAAGTTACAGCATCGTCGTACCTGAAAACCTGCGCATGTCTCCGCTACTTGTTGTACCCTGCATCCTGGCACGTTACTCAAAGGCGCCAGGCCGGAATCTCTGCACGAGTTAGTGCCACTGCCAAACGACTGGTTCTCCTTCCCCGGACAGTCACCTTGGCTCAGGGAACGGCCGGGCCTTCTTGGTGTCTGCTTCACATTGGTGGCTCGCTTCAAAGATGGCCAATCAGCAGCATCTTGATTGGAGGAGGCTTGACCCGTCGAGGTGGACAGCTCTGAACTCTGCACTTGGGCCGACGACAGCTTGTGCCGTGCCGGCGTGCACCGGTCACTGTCCGGGAAGTACGCGTTCTTGGCCATGGAGGTGATGATGGCCTCCCGGTACAGTCCTTGCAGGAAATTGACGACCTGCTCCTCGAGCCGGACCACCTCCTCCTCCAGGACCGCGACTTCGGCCAGAAGCTCCAATGTCTGGGCACAATTCAGAAGAAGGCGGAAATCAGAAGAGGATTGCTTCGAAACTGCAACGAATTATGGGTTGGTTTGCTCTGTGAAATTGATCGAAAAGCAATGAAGGGCACTGGCTTGAGACGGCAGGAAAGGGGGGAGGCGAGGCAGAGCGCCCAGCGGCCTCGTGAATGCCCGCTCCAGAGCTCGGTGGACGTTCTCCTCGTGCCGCAGCTTCTTCCTCAGCTTGTCCACCTGCAACTCGAAATCGAAATGGATGCATGTCCTCAGCAAAAATGCAATGGCTTGGCCTCACAGTTAAAACGCCAGGTAGAACGACAGAGATCAATACATCTTGCTGCAGTGCAATTTTCCTGTCCCTCCGAGACTGGATTCTGTTCTTCATGCCCTGCGGCGTCGCATTTGCAGAGAAAACCGGCGCCGTCTTCGAGCCAGGTGGCCTCCTCTGCTCCTTCTCCATCGCCTTGAACAGAGAAAACTAACAGGAAAGGAAATTTGAGTCGAAGAGCGAGCACGACTAAGAAGACGTCGGCAGCAATCGGAGGACGGAGTACCAAATTCGAGGTGCTCTCTACGGCGACGGATCCTACCGAGCCATTTCAAACGAGTGCTAGAACAAACAAAGGCCGCCGCCACATTTGGCTCAGAAAAGCAGGAAGGAACAGAGTGCCGAGCACACAACCGTACTACTAATACTACCACTAAACAATCCGTGGTCACAGAAAACTTGATACTCTAGCAAAAAAAAAAAAAAAATCACTCCCCCCAAGAACAGGAGTACTAGAGTGCAAAGTTCATCTCTCATTCTCTCGAAGACACCAAAAGAGCAGGGTAAAAGACGAAGACGCAAAGAATTCAAGGACCCGTCAGCATGGGGCTCCATTCTTGAAAGCCGCCAGCTTTTCCGATCGGAGGAGCACGCAGTCGCAGGCCGACGAGAAACTGAAAATAACATCTCGGAAACCGCCACCAAACCGCAGAGAATATAATCATCACCTGGGTGCACGAAAGGCGCAAACTTTCCGACGGCGGAGCCCAAGAAAGAGAGGGACGGCAGGGCAGCGCAAGGCTTACTCACTTTCTCGTTCCTCGGTGCGGCGCCCCTGATGGCGCCGCGCGCCGCCGCCGCCGGCCTCCGCGCCCTCCCGTTCATGACCTCCAACGGCGCGTGCATCAGCTGACGACGCGCGACGGAAACGGAACCGCACCGAGCCGCGGGGCGCAGAGAGGAGAAGAGGGCTAGCTAGATGGCGGGAGGAGGAGCCTTAATGGATGGCATTTATGGCGGCGTTGTGGCGAGCGCCAGGCACCGCCTGGAGCTGCTCGGGGGGCGGTTTCTTTAGCAAGCGCGGCGCCTGGAGCAGGACGACCGGAGACAAGGCCTCGGGGCTGGCAGACGCCAGAATTCCGCAGCGCGGATAGGGTTGGGACAGCAGCGCGAGCGGGGCTGCGGCGGGAAGCGTGTTGGCGGTGGCGGTGGCGGTGGCGGTGGCGATGGCGACGGTGGCTGGCGTCGTCGTCGTCTCGTTTAAGCGTGGCGTGGTGGTGGGTTTACGAAGCCTTTTTGATCTGGACCGCGTGCGTGCGTGTGTGCGGGCGGTGTTCCTTGTTTTTTTAACCGTGCCGACCTGCGGTGCGCCGGGCGGGCGGAGCGACGCGACGCGATGGCGCGACGGGGGTGAGGCGGCGGGCCAGCGCGGGGCACGCGTCTGCCAGCGTGGTGGAGCCTGCCGCGGGCGGCTTGGCTTGGCTGCTCGAGCCAGCGGCCAGCGCTTGTTGCCGTGGTGGGGTGGCGCCGCGGCGTGGGGCAGATGAGGGACGGGTCAGCGCTGCCGCTGCGCACCAGGGGCTAATCATGAGCGCAGCGTGCGCTCGCCGTAGCCAGCCGCGGCTCCCAGGTCCAGGGCCAGGGATCATCCGCCTGGACTGGAGTGGCGGGCTGGCGGCAGCTCTTCGATTTTACTGTTGGCACTGCCCCCTTCGCGGGCTTTTTGCACCGTTTGTTCGTTTGGTGGAGTGGCAGCTCTTCGGTTTGACTGTTGGCACGCTGTAAAAAAAAAAAAAAATGGGGTGCGCCGCGCACGGTCTTGGAAAAAGCTGACACAGAGGATTGGCTGAGTCAGTCACTCGTGCATTTTGTCCCGACGACTGTCTCACGGGGTCATCTCTTATGTTAATATATACTCCCTAGTTCTAAATTATATGGATTTGATTTTTCTAAAATATATTTTTTATTCTACATACACATATATAATATGTCTAGATATATAATAAAAATAATGTGTCTAGATAAATCAAAATATCTTATAATTTAGAACGAAGAAAGTACAATATTGTTAAAGGAGTCATCAAGTTTGCAAAGGGTCTCCAAGATTAATTAAAAAAAAAATACATACACAAGAGCTATCCAAGGTAGCCAACAATGCATTGGCATGTCCATAACAATTATTAAAGCACTTCAAGTTCCCCTTCCCCGTCGTGCTCTAAGCCTTGCCATGTGAAATAGTCCATTTGTTATAGCCCTAAGATCAATGATTTGCTCTTTCTCTATGCTTTCCGTTTGAAAGTTTTAGCATCATCACCGACATCATCGAAAGGGAACAACTAAATCCAATGTATCGATTATAATGATCATGAATCAAATTTAACATCTTTCACATGGATGGCCAAGGAGCGGAATACATGTTCAGTTGGCCAAGATTATGACAAAATCATGGAAAATAAATCCTATTTTGATATCTTATAGGATATTGGTCAATCGATTCCTTATTGGACATGTGTAAGAAGCTCAAAAGCAACAAAAATTACATAATTTGGATTTTTTCTGAACACAAGTGGAAACAAATATGATCATAACATGGTCACAACAATGCAGTAGAGTAGCATAAGTAACAGGTCAAAGATAAGCAGCTCATTGGTGCCAGTGATGGTTCCATGGTTTTGTTTTGGAATGCTTATGCCAATGGATGTTAGTGTGATGATGGGGCCAACTAGTTGCTGCTTGAGGTAATAGTGGCTAAAGCAGATATTAGCAGCATTGCGATGAATCCAAAATTATTTTAGAGCAAAAACAACTATGGATTTGCGAGTAAGATGATTATTCATTTTAGCATCATGATGATTGATCATTCTCGGCCACTAAACTAGCTGCCAATCTTTTTTGACATGCAGTAGAAAAATAAAGGAAAACCCCCTGCAAGCGTGAATGTAGAAATTATATATAGTATCGGTGGTAGAAAATAAGGGGGCTTCAAAGTTACATTGAAAAGGACCCAATGGTCTAAGAGGGGATGAATTGGGTTAAAAAATTGAAGCAACAATCTTAGCCTATCAAAAACTACTCACCCTTTTGTATGGTAAAACCCTAGGAGAAAAAGATCACACTAAGAATAAATCCTTAAAGCCATCACACTAACGATGTCCTTAAAAGGTTTGTAACAAAGAAACTATCTACATAGAGATATGCTAAACAAGTCTACCAGGAGTTTCACACAATGATTAACACAAGCAACCGGATAAACAACTAGTGGGATGCTCATGGTCACACTAAGATTAGGTCTTTAACTTGCGAAAATTAAACAATATGACTAAGCACACTCTGACATCGAAAAACGATTCCAATTGCCACACAAGATTCTCGCACCTAAGCAAAAACAAAAGCTCAAATTTGAACAAGAATGAAAATGTAAGAATTGAATAGATGGACAAGAGACAACCGTTTTTTCTATGGTATCAGGTCTAGGATGTATTAAGCCTCTAGGACACATTAAGGTCAAATTGAAGTACACTGTACACCCTATAGTGGCCAAGGACTTCAATGTGACCTCAATGTAACTAATTCAAAGTGATTTGATTCTGGAAAAACACATTAGTCATAATATTTCTGTTCGTCAATCGTCATAACTCTACTATGGAATTGAGACATAGAGATGTGTTATGAGGCAGTTGGAGGATTGACCCCTGCTGGATCCACCTCGGGTTGGAGGTACACCAGTAGCGTCACGTGTGTGTTGTATCAACCATCCTAATTTCATACTAAGTGGACAAATAAAAAGCTCTAAGTTAAGTAGCGTGACATCTAATGGTACCTACCTAAAGGCTCGGAGCTTAGTTGCAGAATGGATACATCTGCGTACCAGACAGTTTGGCCTTCGCAACCATATATACATGCAGAGATACCATCAGGCGATCGATGCACCATGCATGTGAAATAAAGACGCACTTGTCGCCGGCCGGCCGGCCGCCGCTGCACGCCAGGCTCGCGGCCACTTGAGATATTAAACCTTTTGGTGGTGCTCATGCGACCGTTGAGCTTGAGCCGGCCACCACACTGCAGGAACCTTTACCAAAGGTGGCGGCCGTGGCCAATTGTGCTCCACGTCTTCTGCCTGCTGCAAGATTACAAGCGGACAGGAACGCAGTGGCTGGTGAAAAGCGTCGGGTTTTTGCATTATATCGCTGATGGCAAAAATGATCCATCAAGATTATCTGCTGCTGCAGTGCTGCTGAATAAAATCTGAACAGGAAAAGAAATTGAAACACTCATGCTAGACAGTGCTCCGTACTAGTATATGTTTAGATGATGGTATAGGATAAGATTTGAATCAAGATAAGATGCCGTACGTTCAAAATCGCTGCTCCACGTTGTTGTGTGTGTGTGTGTGTGTTTGATCATTTGCTTTTTGCGAGGCATTTATCTTGTAGTGCTCATTAAATCAGATTAGACAATACTCACCTCTGAAGAGGGAGGCACATGCCGGTCGCGGAGGTAGCGAGTAATCCCAAATTTTTGTCGACAAAATTTCGTTACATCCTGACAGTGCCCATGTGACATGGTCCACACGGACAGTGGCACATATCCTAGTAGCCAGAATCATAGGCTGCAACACTGAGAAAAGGGTGTCCCATTTGGAAGCATGCCTGCATGACTACAAGTTTTTCTTCTTTGTTGAAGATTGGTTGGGTCAAGGATACTTCCAGCAATTAGAATCCAAAGATAACCATCTGTAGAAAATAACATCTTCTTTCACCCAATTTAATTTGTAGGTGTAATGCTGCATTACAGTAGAATTTGTTTCGGTCATAGCCGTTGGATTTAAACGAGATTCGTAGCACCGCACTGTAGTCTCAGCCTATCCTTCTGCGCTGTCAAGAGGGCAAGAGGCATAGGATCCATGCATGTCCTACTGCCATCAGATTAAACAATGTCAGCACTGCCGATTAAAATGATACACACTGCTCGTCTTCTTCTGAAACCACCACTACAGGTGCTGCTCATTTTAAGCAGATTCAAACTTGGGACCGTCCAAGCTTTTGCAGCTGAAAAGTCAGCGGCTGGGCGGCTGGCTTGACAGTAGAATCAGAGAGATTCAGAGGCAGGGGAAGCAGACAAGAATCCTTCTCCTAAGTCCTAACTAACCCCTGGAATCCAAAGCAAAAAAAAACTCCTTTCAGCTCAGCTAGTGGCAACGCACCAAT